CTTTCCCTGCTCTGCAAGTGACCCCCTTTTCAGTGATTTATCCCTGTTCAATGCTTTGATCAGTGATCAAATATAACCCACATTTCATTTCATTTATCATAACAACAAAACAGTATATTGCACACATAACACATTCTTATAAAAACCTTCTTTCACACTACAAGTTGAGCAGGGCCACGCAGAGCAGTTAGTAGCAGCATTAATGTTTAATGTTTAGCAATTGTCCATGGTTTAATTAGCATGGCAAAGAAGTCATCGGAACGCTCACAGAAAAATCCTCCATAGTAAATGATTGATTTCAGAGCGCCCTACTCTGCTAATATGTGAATGCCTGATTGATCTGCTCTTCTCTGCATCACCTTTCTCTGCTCGTAGTGTGAACAAACTCTGACAGCAATAAAAGGTGGTTTTTGCAGGCATAATTTGGATACTAAGTTCAGCATCAGTATAGCATCTTTAGAAACATGATTAGCATCTGGAAATAGAATTGAACAAAGCTTAGTTTAAGCTACATGTATCACTTGTCATCTTTTGGTTTAGATTACGGTACATCAGATTTTAATCTTGAAAAGTGATACAAAAGGCTGAAATTAAGCTCTATCAGCCGGTCAAGCACATATCTAGATGGTTATATCCCTTTGAAGAAGAAAAATGCAATAGAAGTGATTATAACTCTGGAGAATTGGCATAATCTTCAATGTCTGCAAGACTTTCAGAATGTTTACTCTGTCTTCTGCGCCATCTCTGGCACCGGGGACATGGCAGTTGTTCTGACATACACGTTTTGTGGAAGACTGCATTACAAATCGAACACTGAAAGGAGAAAAGAACATAAATGTCAAAGCATACAGTGGAAAAGAAAAGCTTGAAGATAAATCATTGAAAAGGGAGACAACCCATAAATATGGAATCACTGAATCAGGGGGAAAATACTGAAAGGGGGAAAAATCACTGACCACGAATATTTACTGAAAAGGTGGAAAATCACGGAAAAGGGGGGATAATATATAACAGAAGGAGGGGCGGGGGGGAGGGGTAATCACAGAACAGGGATAAATTACAGAGCAGGTTTAAAAGGGGAAAATAATAATGACGGGGGAAAATCACATTGGCCAGAATATATGACACATGGGGTGAAATTTGATCTCTTACTCACCCTATGTGTTGTGTCGGTTTCAAAGGGATAAATGACCTTCTTACTGCTACAGATTTCACAAATAAACCCTTTCTGACTACACAATAAACAATCATATACATGGTTCATAGCAAACTTGTTAATCTCTTTTAAACTACGAGCTAGTTGACCAGAATACACATGGAAGAAATCCTGAAATGGACAAAAATTCCCTTAGCATCAAACTTTTTAGCAACACTCAAGGCCTTGCCGCCTTACAGCCAAGAAGATAACAGATGCTCCACGATTCAATCACATTGAAGAAGTTGAAGATTACATTCCAAATATTGGCAATTGCATGATACAAAAGAGCTTGCGTGCAAACATTTTCGAAGACTATTTGAAAATATCAATGAAGATTTCGTTACATGCAAGCTCGAAATTTTCCAATTGTCAACAAACAAAGCCAGTTACAGAAAGGGTTCACAATCTTGTCCACTCTCCTAAGAAGTGGCTCATATGAACCTACATCACCTACGGGACACCAAACCGTCTTGCTATCATACTAAGAGATTCCTTAAAACAAATAGAGTTCTCTACCTACCCCTAATGAATAAACATGAATATCATCATACAGAAATTCACGAGGCCACACCCTCTTCCGTAATTCCTCGGCCATCGCTTGGTTACAGGTAAATAAATAAGTTTTTAAATAAAATAACTGGGTCCGTAATAGCTGAAATTAAATTAAATTAAATCAAATATATTGTGGTCTGGATTTTTGCTCTCTGAAGAAGAGTTACTTCCCCCCCCATGACAGGATATAGAAAAGTGTTAGAGGACGCTTAAATATAGTTCATAAAATACAGATTTATATCATTCAACACCTATCATACTGTGGTCCGGATTTCTCCTCAAGTAAAAAAGAGTTACTTCCCTTTTAGTCAGGTAGGGTTACTTGCCCTTGTTGTCAAGGGACAGGATATAGTGAAGCCTTGATGGACAGTAACAAGTCTGTGTTAATCATCTTTCCCAGTCCTACTCAATAATTGTTTAACCAGATTCTACAGTTCTGCGTTGTTATTTGTGTAAGCCACCATTCTTACTGATTATTCTTATTTTATCTTTTTTTCTTAAAGAGTTTTCCCTCTGAGTAAGCTTAATTACTGAAAGTCTCTCGGTTAAAACCCCCTCTTGAGGAATTCAAAAAGATTTTCAGATCTGAACATTAAAATCCAAGAATGAATGATCCAAATCCGAAGGAACAGTTTGGAAATACATTGGTTGCAACTAATAAACTTTTCATATGAGGAATAATAAATGAGTAAGTATGTCATAATTAAAAGTGGTAGCCCTATCATATGTCTAGAAGTGTAAGCATACCTTGTTTAGACAATCCTACTATAACTCTAAATATGAGGAAGTATATCAATTATAAGTGAGAATGAAAAGTGGTATCAGAGTGTCCAGAAGAGTATACATACCCTACCTGGCATCACACTTGCCATTGCTGCTCAATATTACCCATTTTGGATTATTATTTATTAACTACAGCTGGACTATTAAAAGTTGACCAACCTTGAGTTCTTCCATCTCAGGAACATGTGAGTATAATTTAGGGTTAATATCTGAAATATCTAATAATGCTTCTTCTTCGTACTCCATTAAAAACTTTAAATTATTTCTGGACACTGAAAATAAGATTATTCTTCATATCAGCTGTTAACAAGATCTTCCAAGATCTTGTTTGCTGGCGTGTTCTTTGCCCATAGCTTTGTAATGGTTTAACCTCTTGGAAGGATAACAACTCAGATTTTTGAGGATCCTGTCTACCAGATGGTCCTTTTCTAAACCATTTGGTAATTATTTCACAAGAATAACTTTGGTTCTCAAAGATTCTTTCCATATTCAAGCGTAAATCTGTGGCTTCAGAAAAGGGTCATTGCCATTATTCAGTTCTTAGTAGTAAATGAAATGAATGGAGTTTTACGTCCTACTTTTCTGCACCATATGGGCTAATGAAGACGGGTTCTTAGTAGTAGATGAGTACAAGAACTGATAGTTACTGATAGTGATATCGAAACTGACCAACCTTGTTGTTTTCTAAAATCCCAATTATGTACAATAAGAGCTGGAATATAAAATTCTTCATTTTCGTGGCATTCAAAACAATAGTAACCTCCGTCAAACGCACAGACTCTTGGTTTACCATAGACTACAAAATAATAGATATATTAATCATGGATAAAAATGGTTAACACACAACCCCATATACTTTGGACCATAGATACAGAAAAATTCAGCCGGCTGACCGATATCATCAATGAACATAAAGGGACAGATGCGCCATTTTGGGTGGTAGAGTTAGTCTTGAATATGTAAATAGTCTTCAGAAGTACTAGAAATGTACAAAAATCGCATAATTCCTTTGAAAATACTTCAAACTAGGAATTTTTCTCACTATTTCTATATATATCTTTTCTATATATCACAGAGTATCTTAAATTAACGAGTTGTCATTTTAACTTTCAAACATAGATAATTCTGGACACACATGGATTTGAAGGCTCAAATTTTGATGGTGAGCTCTGTCCACGATTGCTATTAAAAGATGTCCTGCACATAAGCCCCAGTAAGTGCTAACAAAAAGCTGAAAAAACTTACACAATCCAATAGGTCGTTTACAATCTTTACACTGGTAGTTCTGAGCATCCAGACCTTTCTCTGTAGCTATCTCACACATCTGTTGTTTCTTCACAGCCAATATCTGAAAAGCATTACAATACTCCTTCAGACTCATGGAACCCAAGTCTCCAATAGAGATAATAATATGTGCTAAACTTTTGAAGCAACTCCAGTATTTCGTCTATATAACTTTATAGTATGAAAATCTGGCATCAAGTTCTTTGTTTGATAAAAACACACACAGAAGTGAAAAAATCTAAAATCATCTGAAATTAGCTGGAAATGAAAATGAAATGAATGGAGTTATACGTCCTACTTTTCTGCACCATGTGGGCTAATGAAGACGGGCAACGCCATGCAGGGTGCAATGAGGGAAATTTTGCCTTTTTCGATTTCCAACTGTCGAGGTATCTTTACCGTGCACAGCCTGTAGCACACGGGCCTCGCTTTATTGTCCCATCCGAACGACTAGACGCTTTTTCCATGTCAGCCCCTCTTACCTGCATCACTGACAGGGGGAAACCGGGTTGAAAAATCCGAAGGTATTATCTCGACCTATGCCGGGATCAAACCCTGGACCCTCAGGTTAGTGAGCAAGCGTTTAACTCACTGAGCTTCCACGGCTCCGAGAAATTAGCTGGTAAAGCACATATTTTATTTTGTTATCATAATAATTCAACCACAGAAAAATTGTCATGCATTGATAATGAAAAGCCTAAGAAAAAAATGGCACCGACATGCGATTAGAAATGAAGAAAAAAAACAAAGTCAAATGTTAAACTTTTAGTGAAGAATATGTTAAATACAACATCAAAATAAATCAATAATACAAAAACAAACCACATAAAATAAACAATTAAGATGATTAAGATACATGTGAAAGGCACAATACCAAAATAAATCCAGAAAGTTAAGCAAAGTCTAGCAAAGATATTTATTCACATCCAGAGAACAGTCCATTTTCATTTGAGTCGTTACGTATATAAGCTGAGTTATGATTTGGGTCAAAGGTCCATGGATGTGCTCGATTACCTTGATCCATAGATAGAAAAAAAAAACATCCAAACACCAACCATCTTCACAATGTCAAGCTATTAGGACTTTGTACCTATACCTTGACTGTAATAGCCACTTTTCTTTATCCTGGAATGCAGCGATTTGATTGGATGTCAAGAAATACAGTCAATCAGACCCCTCCACAGAAAGGCTGTAAATATTATGGCTTAGTGTTCGCAGACTTCCTGTCAAGGCTTTTGATAGGCTGTATTCATAAGTGTACAATCTAATCAAATTGCTTCATTTACAAACCTTCATGATACATGAACGGTGGTTATAACAGTCAAGGTATAAGAGAGAAATGCGTAATATCTTGACATTATGAAGATGCAACCACCCATGCCAAGCTTTAGACTTACTCCCTCATCCTGTTTATGTAAAGCTGAATTTGGTATCACTTCGTAATCCTCAAGTGCTATATCGACTGACTACAAATCATAAGAAGGATTAGGATATGATTCACATTCATACTTGGGTAGTAGAAGGTGGGGTTTGGATATTGGGCTTGAAGTTGGGGGGAAAAGGTGGGGGGTAGCACCTGATATTATTTGGCACTTTTGTAAAGTATGTACATGTAATACACTTATAAGAGAGCAGTTATAAGCTCTAACAAATAAAGGGCTTTGAATCTTACAATGAAGAAATTGTTGATAACTTAAGAGATATTTCCGCAGTATTCAAGCGATAATAGGTCAGCAAATCTGCATTTGGATAAAATGAGAGCAAAAAAGAAAACACTAGTACCTCATTATCAGTGACATCTCGTGCTTTATCTACTTGATCCTGACTACTGTCATTTGGGTCTTGATTATCCAGGTTGTTTAAAACTTCATCTAAAGAAGACGACACAGCAGTTGTTGGAGTATAGTTCTTTAATAAGGTCCCAAAACTTTCAGCTGAAAAAAAGTTAACTTAAAACTGTAGTCACCTTACAAATGGTAGCCTCATTCTACCAATGATTTGCCCAATCACCTGGGCTTATACTTGAAAACTGTCGCCTGGTCTCAGGCAGAATTCTGTGGAATTCTAATATATTCTGAAACACCTGATGGTATTTCTCTCTCGAGGAGTCCACTTCCATACAACATTTACTTTCGATTTTGCCACACTTTGGATGAGATTTTGATTGATTTTGACGATTTGCACTTACAACATGGTTGAACCTCCATCAAGCATGCTCCAGATCAAAACACAAAAGAATCAGCAGGATATTAATTTAAAGGAAAATGCACAAGATCAACAATGATACCACAATACTTACATTTCATTCTTTGAGGTATATCTTGACTGGTACTGGATGTTCTTTCTCGAGGAAGATCAGTCAGGTAATCCTCCTGCTCCACTGGAGATGACCAGCTGTCCATCGAGTTCAAATTATTACCAAAACTGCGAGGACTACAAGCTATGAATGTCTCTTGTGGAGTGATTTTTGGAGAGGAATGACGTCTTATGTGCTCCCTGACATGGCTTATGGGAGGCAAGTCCTGCTCTGCAACAGTATCTATAGTCTCTGCCACAACATCGGACAGAGTTGGTTCGATTGGAGCACTCTTCTTTTTGGGAGAACAGTTAAGACTTTCGTACGAAGGCAGGTCCACGGCTTTGGTCTTCTTCTTCTTTGCATGATGATGCTGATGCTCTGAATGAGTGGTTGTGGTGGTTACTTCAACAACATTAACTATGGACAGTTCCTCAGTAGTGGCTTCGGCATCTTTAGAAACCACTGTCTTTGTAGCAGTGTATTCTTCTGTGATCTCAACTTCAGCAATTTCCGACTTGATGGATCTGTCATTTTCTGTCCTGCTGGTTTTAGGAATGTCGTCGAAGTTCTGATCCATGAGGAAGGAAGTCCTTGAAGGGGAGATAATAGGCTGTTCCGAGGAACTGTTATCTGGACAAGATATGTGGCTGGAGTTGGAACTTTCCGAAATGCTGTGTCTGGATTGAACAGTCAGTTTCTTGATGTCCTCAACATCTTGCCGAGTAAATCCTGAGGATGCAAAAGGCGTATTTGGAGGAACTTTTGGTACCGAAGTGCCTGGTACATCAGGGTCTGAGTTTCCTCGCGATTTTGTCCGAGATCTGTTCTTGACAACTCGGATAGGACTCTCTGGTTGCTTTAAAGTGGGAGCAGAACTCACTGGTTTTGCTTCTGAAATAATAAATTTAAATTCGAACTTTATAAATAGATTACAAAGTTTGGAAACAAAACATAATTGAAAGCAAAATCCAAGAAAAACATGAATGAACATAGCAAAATAAATTGTTAGACTGAGCTAAGCTGTTGAATCACAATTTTACATTGAAAAATACCAACAAAATTGATCAAAAGGTTCATCTTCTTCATCTTTGACAAAAATCTAACCCCTGATAAAGAAAATCGCTGGTAGTGGAAAGAAGATACTTACGATCTGATGAAGAATCAATTACAGCTATAGTAATATTAGGTTTCTCAATGATACCAGCTAGACTTAGTGGAGTTGTGGTCCAACTGTTTAACACACTAGAATTATAGGACAGAATGAACTGTAGCTCTAGTAGACCTAGAATAGACAAAACATATTTCAATAAAAAATATTAAAGATTATCGACCACAGCCGTATACGCCCACCACGACATGCGGATGGTAAATATTCAAGATTTTGGGGCAAGGGCAATAACTCTGCTTCTAACGGTCGAACTTGATCTTTTATGAACATGTATACACATACCGAATTTCATTACAGAGAGTCCACATAGTTTTCAACACTATTTCAATATCACAAATAATAGATGATATAAATTTGTACAAACCTTTCATATAAGAAGTAAGAATACCAGGTTGTTCTATATCAAGAAGGTAACTAGTTGGTTGATAGAAGTAACTAAAGTAAAAAAAAAGACAGTAGACAACAGCTATATATTTTACCATCCACAGCATGTGGATGGTAAAAACGAGCCATCTATTTTAAGTTTCATCAAAATCGGTTGAAAACTAAGAGAGTAATAGCATATTCAAGATTTTGGGCAAGGGCAATAACTCTGCTTCTAATGGTCGAAAATAGCTCAAATTTGAACTTAATCTTCGTTTTATGAATATGTATACACATACTGAATTTCATTTGATTCCATCAAAAAATCTAGAGCGTTTACAAGCAAATGTTGACGGACTGATGGACAGGGGTGCCAACAATATACGTCCACATAGAGAGACGTAGGCGTATAAAAATTATCCTCAAATATACAAATATCTTTTCTCAACTAAAGCATATAAAATCCTCAGAGTGACACATAAGCTAATACACTCTTTTATCTCGCCAAAGATCCGGTTATATTAAATCTGGCAACTCATTTAATAAATTTCATATTACATAATCACGTGTTGAACACTATGTATCATACTTCCTCATATAAACTGATAAGGACAATGTAAATTGTTGAAACTTTATGTTCTGTCATTTAATATTTCAATATTTAAATTAAAGGCATACAGTCGCCTAAATATTTACTTTACTACCTGATTGACCTCACTTTTAGCTATATGTATCCTTTTTCAAAATTACATACAATGTATTTCATTTCAAAAGCGACTAATGAAATGAAATAGAGTTTTATATCCTACTGTTCTGTATCTTATTGGACTAATGAAATGAAATAGAGTTTTATATCCTACTATTTTGTATCTTATTGGACTAATGAAATGAAATAGAGTTTTATATCCTACTGTTCTGTACCTTATTAGACTAATGAAATGAAATGTAGTTTTATATCCTACTGTTCTGTATCTTATTGGACTAATGAAATACAATGTAGTTTTATATCCTACTATTCTGTATCTTATTGGACTAATGAAATACAATGTAGTTTTATATCCTACTGTTCTGTATCTTATTGGACTAATGAAATGAAATAGAGTTTTATATCCTACTGTTCTGTATCTTATTGGACTAATGAAATGGAGTTTTATATCCTACTGTTCTGTATCTTATTGGACTAATGAAATGAAATGGAGTTTTATATCCTACTGTTCTGTATCTTATTGGACTAATGAAATGAAATGGAGTTTTATATCCTACTGTTCTGTATCTTATTGGACTAATGAAATGAAATGTAGTTTTATATCCTACTGTTCTGTATCTTATTAGACTAATGAAATGAAATGTAGTATTATATCCTACTGTTCTGAATCTTATTCGACTAATGAAATAAAATGAAATAGAGTTTTATGTCCTACTTTCTGCTGCTAATTGGAATAATGAAAACAATTACCCTTGTCAAAATAATATTGCACAAGAGAAGATTAATGACCATAATCAAAATTCCAATTGATGAATTGTAGGAAAACCTTATGTCAGATTGTTATTCTAAAAAGTGATATGAATAGCTGATATTGAGATCTATCAGATCAGATGGTAACAAAATATTCCATCAATTATATCTCTTGAAGTAGTTCCATATAATTAAAGAAATATTTTCAAAATAAGTTCTTACTCTAATGTTCTTTTGTCTGTGACCATAGATTCTATGTAACTTTCCATCAACCCATCGTTAAGGCTTAATCTGATCCATGCCTATAATGAAAAAATAAGCTCATTGACAAGCGGAAATATAACTGTATTTCTCTTGACTTATTTATTATATAAAAGATTCTGGTTCTTGCCAATAATTGTACAAGGAGAACAAATTAGGGTCACAAAAGGATCCTGTCTACCAGCTGGTTCTTAGCCAAACCTCTTGACAATGATTTCACCTCTTGACAATGTAAGATAACAACTTAGGTTCTCTAGGATTCTTTCTTCCAGCTTGTCCTTGGCCAAACCTCTTGATAATGATTTTACAAAGATAACAATTTATGTTCTGAGGGATCCTTTTAACCAGGTGGTCATTTGTCACACCTCTTAGAATTTATCTTTCATATTTCAACTGAACCCATAAAATGTGTCTCATATACAATTGTGCCCATTTTTGTAAAATAGAATACCAATTTTTAAATCCTCACCCTGCTGAGTCCAATTTCTGTGGTGATCTGTCCTAGATGTTTTAATTGGGAGATCACATCTTTATGGGTAAATTTGGTCACAAAAATCCAAAAGTTCTGAAAAATAAATTCAAAAATCAAAAACATCATCAAAAATGTAATGTGCCAATTCTTTTAACAAAATGACATACTGGAAAGGACAAAATAAGAAGGAAAAGAGTAAAACCAACAAAGACTATGTCTAAGTTTGAGTTCGTTGGCATTTAAGAGTGTGCACATTCTATGTAATATTCAAATATCATTCGACTGGTGTGGTAGTCATCAGAAAGTGTTAATTTCTGGCTTACTTCAGAATGGGCGGGATAAAAAGAAGATCTGAAGTATACTTACTGTATTCACTTGGTTTTCATGGTCGTTAGAGAAATTTACATAACTAGCGATCTATAAAAATATACCGGTATACATGATTAGCATAAAAATTAGATTTTTAACTGGGGATGAATGCTGTCCCATTTCTGAGACTAAGATTGGATTGGCGATCATGTCCCTTTTAAGTAAGCTTATACAAATATGAAAATAGGCCAACAAGTTCTTTTTCTTCTTTAAAATTCAGAATTTCATAATAGGTAATATAAAGTTTTACCTTAGCAGTGACGGAATCACGTAAACCATGTAAAAATACAGCTTCTAAAACCCCACATAGATGGTTGGCTACATCATCACTGCAAATAAAATTTGAAAATTTTTTAGGCCATAACACTGCTCTTACAGTTGAATGCAGCTGTGGCTCAGTTGGGTAGAATGTTGGTCTTTTATGACATCATTTGCCCCTCCTCAACATTACCAGATCTTTTCAATGGATTTCCATCAGGTTGAATTCTCACAAAAAAAAATCCATTTTTCCACGTACCTATAAACAGGCTCATCACTATTAAGATGTTTCTGTTGAAGATTTTTCAAAGAAATGGAGAATTCTTTCGTTAAATTTTTCTTGATCTTATTTTCTCTCAACAGTTCTGCTTGGGTGGGTACTGTAAATAGGACATGGAAATTAGGGTAGGCCTACATAGGGTCTTTGTTAGGTATTAAGGGGTAAGAGCAGACATCAGGCCTACTCTTGTAAACACAGGCACAGGTATCAGAATGTGTTTTTACCTTGCAGAGGATTCGAACCCACGGCACTTAATCACCTTGCGGACAACAATCCAACTTGTTACTGACTGAGCTATTCCATTGCCACAAAAAGACAGTGTTCCAAAGCAGCGTTAGAGAGAAGTCTTCATGTTAGCATAGTTCAAAAGTTGTTAACCCCTTCAAGGAGTCTTTGTTATGGTTAGTTTGAGGGTTTGGAACAAATACCCTCCTCCAAGTCCTAAACCTGGTGTATAAAAAACTTGAAACAGTCCTCTTTTAATGAAATCTAAAGACCAAATGAAGGAAAAATAAGAATGTTCAGAGTAGTGATGAGATGAAATTGGTGAGTTGAACAAAAGCTCACTAATCAGTGTCAATGAAAAAAGTATAAAGAAAATAAATCAGGATATAAGTTGATTGTTAGTATTTCAACTATTTGTTCAGCTGTGCTGAAAAACTTGTACTCTCTATTACAGGACTGGTGGTTCACCCTGTTTCGCCCTATTCTAACTATTCCTCAACTAAGTGGTGTCATTTAATAAAAAATTAAATAGCAACAACATAGTCGACATAACAAAATTTAAGCGGATTCAGATCAAAATGATGAGATGATCCCTCTGTTTTCAACTCAGCTGGTAATGTCACTTCAACTCACCCCTTTTCTTCTTCAGAAAACTCATGTATGAGACGAAATCACGAAATATCTAATTAAGAGATCGACATATTAAGGATTTGAGTGATTTTCTTGATTTGTGGTCATCTGACAAAATAATAACAATAGCTTTCACCGGAAGTCAAGCTAGCCAACATCAATTAACACAAAAAATGTCAAAATTATTTCCAATTTTTTTCCATTAGCAATCTATTTCATGAGGGTAAAACATTCAGAATTCAACTTGTAGCTTTTCTAAATTCGAAAGATTTCTGCCCTAGAGTCAAAAAAACACTTGCTCTTGTCATAAAGGTTGACCGTAAATTGACTGCCGATTCAATTTTAGCTACCTTGATGTTGTCGACTCAATTTTGACACAATCTGAACTTTCCGAATATTTTTGCATGAAAATATTTCCATCTATAAGAATTTACAGCTTATGACAGCAAAAGCCATTGGCATTTCATAATAAAAGGTTCTGGCATTTACAAAAAATATCAGCCACAAAATGTTTTTCGACTATTGTCGTTTTTTGGTAGATTTTTAGAGTTAATTTCTGCTAAAAATTATTCTCTACTTTCGGTTGAATTTTGTGATAAGAGTTACTCCCCTTTAGCCTGTCTCTTCAATTAAAGGCTAATTTGGTTGACACCTAACATTTTCATTGAAAAGAAAATGAAATTGTGCAGTTTGCAGAAGACATTGGGCTAGATCTCTGATTGTGCATTGTGCTCAAAGGTTCGAATTATTTAAATATGTTCAAATAGAACCTAGCAAGCCTGCTAAAGATATAAACATCCCTTTCATAACACCTTATCCTAATTTTAGGCTTAGTCCGAAATCCTGATATTTTTCTTCCCTTTTTATGGGTAAGCCTAACTGTCACTGTCTATCACACAGAGTAGAGAGAGTCGATCAAGGCTAGGTCTTTCTAGCTGTATAATTTTTCAGGAGAGCAAGTATTTACTCTTTTTGCAGTAACCTGACATTGTTGCTCACCATTGCCTGGCCGTTGCCATTGGATTACATGTCTACAGGACTAATAATGATGGAATGTTGTTTTAATGTGTAGATGTGATGTCATTTTTCTCCATGTCTTGTTGCTCAACTTATTTATGATAGCTTTTTGTGTATTTCAGACTAGACTAAACCAAGATGTCTTTGGTGAAAGATGAACACAACAAATGTCTTCGGCAGTCTTTAAAACGTTTTTACGAGGAAGAAATGCTCACAGACGTTGTGATCAACGTGTCGGGAAGAAAATTCAAATGTCATCGAATCATCCTGGCTTCATTATCAGTTTATTATGAGACATTATTCCATTCTCAATTCATCGATGCTCAAGAGAAAGAACTCACATTGCAAGTAGATGGCAGCACTTTTGAAGAAGTGATCAATTTTATGTACTGTCGCACAGACACTATCAATACCCTGAATGCTGAAAATTTGTTTAAAATTGCCGATTTCTTACAGATTGAATCCTTAAAAGAAGTTTTGGAGCAGCAGCTTTTGAAGGATCTAAGCGTTGAGAATTGCTTAGAATGGTTCCGATTGGCAGATCTCTACAATTGTCCGAGACTCTTGGAAAAATCTTTATCAATGACGGCAGGAAATTTTGGGAGTGTGTTCGACAACGATCAGTTCTTGTTGCTAAGCAGTAACTTAATTTGTAATGTTTTGAGTAAAACGAACCTTAGTGTACCCTCAGAAGAGAATATATTTGAAGCTGTCGTCAAGTGGTACCGTGCCGATATCAAGGGGAGGAAATCCTCGTTGAGTTTCATCTTAGAACAGATTCGTTTTCCTCAGATGAGTCTTGGCTATCTGGAGAAAGTCGGGAAAGAATCGTTCATGAAGCCATTGAGTAGGTTACGTTTAATAGAAGAAGCGAAGAATTACCAGTCAAATCCGCATCTAAGGTATGTTAAAATGAGCCCTTCATGTATGAAACACCCCTTATTCCTTAAATGAACTTTTCTAAGCCAGTATTACTTCAATCAATTTGATACAGTCTTAAATATTTAAAAAGAGTTCATTATCCCCTTAGGCTCAGTCTTAAATTGTTTACAGTAATAAAAATGATTATTCCATGGCAGTTAAAAACACTTTATTTCTTAAAGGCATAAAAAACTTTAAGCACATTGAACGATCTTTTGACGAAAAACCATAAGAATTGATGACAGCTTTAAATCATACTGCTGATTTGACTAGTCATTCTAGTCTTCTGATGGATAAAGCTTAAGCTCTTTTGAAAATATTTTTCAAGGTCTGTTTGAAGGCAAATCTGTAATGAGCATGGCTTGCAAAAGAACATAAATATTTTGAGCGAAATGGATGTACCAGATAGTGCCCAATATATGAGAGAGAGTAGAAGAGGGTTGAACGTAGCCATCTTGTTCTTTACACGCTTCCGTGGATAGGTTCAGACTGCGTCGTAATTCCACGAACGATGTATTATAGTTGTCCGCCATACACGGTTCCTTAAGATACAGAAGATTTACTATATTTAGAACTATGTCATTAGGTACCATGGTAATAAAATCGATAAAAACGACCAAAATTAAAACGGTGGTAGTCTTTTTCAACGTGATGAGACTTTCTTCTGAGATAGTTCCAAAATTTCCCAGAGTTCCGAGAAGGCCGATACTGATTCTAATGGTGATTAGATATAAACCGTAGGATTTAGTGCCATCCAAGATGTCAGTTTCTCGAAAATCATCACTTATAGAGCTAGTATTACTTGAATCAGACATTGTTGTCCACTAATTGAGTCATGTAAAATACCGAATAACTCTTCACAAATTGTTCAGTTCTTCCTCCTGGTTCTTTCAAAATTGATGTTAGTTTAAAGGGATTGTAAAGAGGTCATTAAGAAAAATCCAAGAGTTATGTAGTGAAGCACACAAACAGGTTTAAAGCCCATTCTGTTTTGAAATTTTGAAATCCTATTGTTACCCATGCTTATAAATAAGCTTATATCAACCTATAGAATCAAGGCAAACTTGTTGTATTTCCATATATGGTTTGATATGTATAGGATATGGTATTGAATATTGAACTCCAGAAAGCAGACATGAAAATAAATAAGAGTTATCTCTGTAATGCTGTGAGAAATTTGGTATCCTACTTCACAAAACTCAAATTTCATATTTTTACATCTAGGAATCTTTTCAAGGGATACATCCCTGTAAATGTGCTTCGAGTTTTCTCTGAATCATGGAGTTTGAAATACAGATCAGCTGTTTCAGATGAGATATATTAATAAAGAAAAGCAATTGCGATCCAGTCTGCCCAGGTACAAATAATCCTCTAAGATCAATGGACCAGCTTGTGGACAGGATCCTTGAGAGCCTATGTTTTTATACTTGTAAAATCATTACCAAGAGTTTTTACCGAGGATCAGCTGGTATTATGGACCGTGGACCAAAATTAGAAAAAACAATGTTGTTCTACCTTCTTTTTGTTCTGTTATGTTTTGTGTCTATGATTGTTATAAAGCAACTTGAAAACTATACAAGATCTGTGGTTTTGCTCCATTAAATGATATGCAATTGCCAAGTTTTGTAAGCAGAGTTTTATGGAGACATATTTTATGGGTTTAACACTAGCAATGCTTCTTAATGTGTACATTTGATATTTTTAATTGTAATTTAATACAAGAAACTTGGAAATAAAAAGTTAAATAGAAGAACATTGAGATATTGAATTACAGTTCAGCTCTTTTCAATCCTTATTTTCTATCAATTCTCCAGTTTCGATTGTGACTTATTTTCAGCAAATCAAATGCCATTTACAATAACACCAATATCAAGAGTTGTTAAAATAAGGGATGTTTTCCTCTAAATATTTGACTGTCTGTGCTATTCATATGGCTGCATTGACCAGTCATGGCTGATCAGAAGTCTAAAACATTAAGGTAGCTATAATAATACATAGGTCCTCGCAGAAGTTTAAATACTTTTCAACCCATCAAAAACAGAGTAGTATAATGTAGCAGTAATACAATTTTCCTCATTGTACAATGTTCACAGTCTATGTCTATATTTCTTAATCTGATTTATATTTCAGATTTCAGTCCAGCAATTATGTCAAAATTTCCCTCATTGTCCAATGTATGGCTTTGAATTAAATTGTTTCTACTGTATATTTCAGACATACCTATTCATCAATACGAACGATACCCCGTCATTACCAAGAAGAGGTCAATATGTTCTGTATACTAGGTTGTATGGTCAACAAGAAAAAAGACGGCACCTATTCCCAAACATATCCCACAGTTCATATGTTTGATCTCAAAGCTTCTAAATGGTATCGTCTCAACTACGCTCTACACGATAAAATCGGCAACTGTACGAACTTTGCAGCATGTCCCTACGACAATGGTCTATATATGAGTGGAACACCCAGAGACAGTAAAGGTTTCACTTTTTTTGACGTTCGAAATAAAGTTTTGATGAAAAGACGGCAAATGAATATGCCCAGAATGTTTCATTGTTTGGTGGCAATGAAGGATAAAATTTACGCTCTTGGTGGTATGAACCTTGACGATGACCGACTGGCTTCAGTGGAAATGTTCAGTTTCAATAAGAAAGGACCGTGGCAGACCGTTGGTTACTTGCCGATCTCTGTGTCAGATATGTCTGCGTGTATTTACAAGGATAAGATTTACGTGTTCGGAGGCTTGACAGACGACACAGAAGACCCGGTTATCCAGTGCTTCGATACAAAGGAAAATATCGGATATATAGTAGAATGCACGAATATCCCTGATCGTTTCGTCATGCCCAAATCATTACTATGTGATAACAGAATTATACTAGTCTGTGGAGACGGAACTGTACACGAGTTCTTTCCTGAAGAATCGCGATTTCAAGAAATCGGTAAAATTCAAAGTTTTTTGAAGAAACATTATTATGGTTGTGTTCAATTTGGTGGAAGTATTTTTGTGTTTGGGGGAGTTGGAAGCTCTCATGATGTGATATCCTTCGATTTGAAATCAAAATTAACAAAGTACCATTCTCCCCTGTCACCCTCGACCTGTGTTTCTGTGTACTGTGGATTCTATACCTCCACAAAACTATCAGGGCTAACGGCGTTGAACTAAACTGTGGGAATGGGTGGTATAGTTGAGCTTGTAACAATCGATTTTTGATTCAAAATATGAACATGACCAGTCCACTTTATTTGGAGGTAGTATAAGTAGTAATCAACACAATATAACTCTAACTGATACAGTTCAATTACTATTTATTCTACCTACAATAAAGTGGACTGCTCTTGTTCATGTTTGACTCATCTTGCTTGTGTTCATAGTTTTTTAAACAGACCCAAAATGTTCATAAATTTCTATGCTCACAAAGATGTGAACTGTTATATCATTTGAAGTGTTATTGAATTCTATCAGTTGTAATAAGTCAATATGAAATTGTTAGTGAATTCAGTGACCACATATCTTTCATTTGTATTTGTATTTGTATTTGTTTATATTTTGTAAATACAAAAGGATCTTTATCTTTCTATTCATTTGATATATATAAATTTACAAAGTTAGCCCTAGAAGCTTTTGAGATGAATTGATATTTTTCTTTTTGTAAATACCTCAATCTAGTTTAAATAAGATTACATTTGTTTCCTCAATATTTTTTTTTTGTCGATCTCTATTGTAATCTAACGAGATTTATACCAAAGTCACGTACTGATGATGTTTCAATCTATTTATAGCAAACGACCACGCACCACTCTCCTGCCAATCAGAATCACTTTTACAAGCGAGTATCTTCATTCTCATTATCTTATTGGTCATATCGCTCTACTTTGGGTTTAGCTATCCCACAATTCATAGTCGATATATAGACATGGATTCTGCATGACGCGCTGTGATTGGTTGAACTGAACATCAACGGTACACGACCTAGGGTATAAATCTTTTTTGGTCACTATGGAGTCTGATAAGAAAAAGAATAAAGAAACAAAATGGTAATTTCTACCTGAAATGTTTTGGTGCTGGTAAAGAAACTATATCAGATATCAGTCTGTGTTTGAGAGTTAAAGTCTATAATTTGCATGTGTTTTGTGATAATTATTTGTGTCACTGATATCTATTTATCAGGAGAAATATAAGTAATATTTTTCTAAATTGATGTTTTTTTTTTTATGCAGGAAAACACTGAACAGAAAGTGACATATATAAGCATAAGCCAGGAAAGTTCCAGTGAACAATGGAATGTGATGCTTAATTTCATTACAAGTATAAGAAAGCCACAAGCATTAAAGTGATACTACGTCTTAGAATTAACATAAAATTTAAGAATTTTTAACTTGGCGAATAAGAGCCAGAAGATATACCTGGTATCATAAATAACATAACAGAATCCTTATATAATCCGATAAATCCAAAAAACTTAGTAATTATCCATAAATATGCAATTAACTATTGAAAAACGCTTAATATCTAGATTAAGCGTTTTTCAATAATTACTTAGTTTTATCAATTTTCCAGATTTTTCATGGATTCTGTTGTAACTTTATGACACCAGGTAAGTTCACTGATGAATATATAATCATATTGACCATTTCGAGAACTTAATTTTTATGTTCATTCTAAGACGTAGTATCACTTTAAAGGAGTTTTCTGAACATTTAATATGCATGAAGGACAGTCAATTAGAATGACATAAATCACTGCTATCAGTGTCCCCAATACATATAAAAAGTTGAGAAAACCTCTTTACAATCCCTTTCAGTCCATCCCAATAATATACAGAACAGTATTGAAATGAAACTTTTCTGCACCATGTGGGCTAATGAAGACGGGCAACGCCATGCAGGGTGCAATGAGGGAAATTTTGCCAGGACATCGGCATTAGCCTGCTTTTTTTCGATTTCCAACAGTCGAGAGATCTTTAACGTGCACAGCCCATAGCACACGGTGCCCGGTTAATTGTCCCACCCGAACGACTAGACCCTTTTTC